CTTCCCCTTCCTGGTCCCTGGTCGCAGCTCACTCTCGGTTCCCGCCAAACTCATGTCTGTTGGACTTGGAATAATATTATGTGACTGACTCCACTGTAGAGGTGGGCAAAGTCCGGATAATCTATAAGGATAACCGGATAATTCTCAATGAAACCTTATCCGAATTCAGAAACTTAACTCTATTTTTATTCCAGACCCGTTTGCCGAAGTGGGTGCACCCATTTGTTGAAATGATGCTACCCATTTGTTGAAGTGGTTCTATCCTATTTGCCGAAGAGGTGCACTAATATAGTATCCGGATTATGCTAACGCGACTCATTGCCCAGCCCTACTCCACTGCACTCTGGCGGGTGCTCTGGTGTGGTTTGCTCCTTCTTTCCTTCTATCAGCCGTCTATCGTCCTGCTTGATCTCTCCGCCTTTTTAAAAAAAATGTTTTGTTACTCTATTGTAACACCTCTAGTCTCCGGCACTTATTGTGTTGCAAGTGTCGTAAAACTCTTACTTAAACAATCTCTCTCTCTCTCTCTGTCTCTCTCTCTCTCTCTCTCTCTCTCTGTCTCTCTCTCTCTGTCTCTCTCTCTCTCTCTCTGTCTCTCTCTCTCTTTGTGTCTCTCTCTCTGTCTCTCTCTCTCTCTCTCTCTCTCTCTCTCTCTATCCATCTATCTATCTATCTCCCCCCCCCCTCTCCTTGGTCCCTGGTCGCTTCTCATTGCTCACTCTCGGTTCCCGCCAAACTCATGGTGTCTCTTAGATTTAATTGTGGGTGGTTGGCGGGTGCTCTGGTGTGGTTTGCTCCTTCTTTCCTATCAAACATCTATTGTCCTTATCTCCCACTCTTCTTTTTAAGGAATGTTTGTTACTATCTTGAAACACCTCTCATCTTCTGGCGTTCATATGACCTTATGCAATTGCGAGCGCCGTAAAACCTCTACTAAACTAAACTAAGACTTGGAAAGTGGAAAGTTGGCGGGTGCTGCGCTCTGGTGTGGTTTGCTCCTTCTTTCCTACTATCGACCATCGTCCTGCCTGATCTCTCCCCCTTCTTTTTAGAATTGTTTGTTACTCTCTTGTAACACCTCTAATCTCCTGCACTTATATGGCCTTATTGTGTTGTTGGAAGTCCGTACAACTCTTACTAAAAACTAAAATGAGAGAGAGGAGGGGTTGGTGTGGTGAGGCGAGAGAGACACACACCGAGAGAGACAGAGAGACGCAGAGAGAGAGAGAGGGAGAGAGAGAGAGGTGGTGAGGTGAGGGAGACGAAAGCAAAGAGGAGATAATTAGTGAGTGGGGGGAAGGGGGATAGGTGGAGGGGCTATGGTGGTTGGTGAGGTGAGAGAGAGAGGGAGAGAGAGCTTATAAATAATTTGGTGGTGTATGTGTGAGAGAGAGAGGGGGGCGGGGTACGTTAGGGGTGTGAGACAAAGGAGAACAACAGGGAAGGGGGAGGGGGGAGTAACTGGTCTGCTGGTGAGAGAAATGAAAAGCATGTGTAGAGTTGAACAATAGAATGGGAAGAGGATTAGGATGGAGGTTTGATTGGGGGGAAAGGGGAGGAGGAGGAATGGGGTGTAGAATAGCTGGATGGCTGATGCTTTCATTGTTATGTGTGTGGCTTCCATTCGCTTTCCTGTGTGGTGGTGCCACTGAGCTGTGAGAACAAAACGGGGTTAGAAACTGGGGATAATAAATTATGTTATATGGGCGCTTTTAAGGACAAAGTGGGCCTAACCCAGATTTAAGTAGGTGGGTGGTTGGCGGGTGCTCTTGCTCGTGGTTTGCTTCTTCTTTACTGTGATCGAACATTTATCCTCCGTATCTCTCCTTCCTTCCCCCCCCCCTTGTGGGTGGTTGGCGGGTGCTCTGGTGTGGTTTGCTTCTTCTTTCCTATCAAACATCTATTGTCTTTATCTCCCCTCCCTCTTTGTTATGTTTGTTACTCTCTTGTACTCTTCGGCGCTTATATGGCCTTATTGTGTTGCAAGTGCCGTAAAACTCTTACTAAAACTAAGAAAAGTGGGAGATGTGTTGAGGGGTTATGATTGAGCTTGTTTACCACCTTATTTAATTTCTGTTTGGCCGAGCTCGAAATGCATATTTAATTAAATTAAATCAAACGTGGTTATTAAAAAGGATTTATCTACGGATGGCGAGAGCGGCTGTTATGACTAACAGATTGCTGATGTCTTTGTTACATGTTACTGTGGTGTGTGTGTGTGAGAGAGAGAGGGGGGGAGAGA